ATTATCTTCTGTATCTGTGTTAATTTGTTCTCCTTTTCTTTGTTGAAGAGGATCTGTGCAGTCTTTCTGCCTATTCTGCCATCTTACCCCACTTCTATTCATTTTTTAAGATGGACTTTCTATGCACCTCCTTACTGAAGCAATCAGAGTGAATTGCTTCTTATTTGTTTGTACCTTTGTTAAGCTGCTCATTAAACTCTTTGTCTCTAACCTCCTAAAAATGGTCCTGTCTTTATCATTCTTGCATTCTTCCAGACTGTCTTGGATGGTGCCTTGCTCCTTGATAGAAAGTAAAAAATGTTAAACTGAATGAATATACACGTGCAGTAAAAAATATATGTATATATTCAAACTGCTTATTTTTTTGAGCATTATGGCTGGTAATTTTGTCTCATTTTTCAGCAGAATTTTGAAAACATTGGCACAGAATGTATTTCAAAGCTAATTTTCTAGTCTTTCTGCTCTCTCCCATTGAATCTCGTATCACACCTGTGTGGTATACCTTTTCTCATTAGCTGTGTTACGCAGTTATATTGTTGTTCTCAATTCAATGATAAATCGAGATGCATTTTTGAAAAGCACAAGAAGATAATCTGATTTTCTGGATATAGTTGTAGACGAGAACTTACATCAAAGTACTTCTTATATGGAAAAACAGTCCCATTTCCACTTTGTGTCTCAATGCAGGTAATACCAAGTCTCACTTCTTCAGGTCAAAATCAACTTTCTAAAAACAGGAATTTATAGTCATTGTCTCTACATCTTCATCTCCCATTCATTCTCAAACCACAGCTTATGACTTTTGCTCCTACTTTTCCACTGAAACTGATATCATAATATCAATAACCTCTTAGTGGTAAGATCCAACCAGACATGTCCTGGTTCTTTTTAATTTAAAATTTCTTTAAAATTTGATTCCAAAATCTGTCCTCTTCTTGAAATTTCTTTGACCTCAGTCTTCTCGTTTCCTTATATTGTAATATTTAATGCCTATCACTCCTCTATTATATTATAAGGAGCCATGAATTTATATCTTGGCATTTTTCAGAATACTGTGCTCTTTTTGGAAGGGTGAGAGCAGATTATTCAGAAATAGTTTGTTCAATTGAAGGAAATTATATATATATATATATATATATATATATATATATATATATATATATATTATAATTATACACACACACACACATGTAGATGCTCTGGTGGTGTAGTGCCTAAGGCATTTGACTGCTAACCAGAAGGCTAGCAGTTCAAACCTACCAGACACTCCTCAGAAGGAAGACTGGGCAATCTACTTCCATAGAGATACCTCTTTGGAAACCCAAGGAGGGGTTGCTATGAGTTGGAATAGACTCAGTGGCAGTGAGTTTTCTTTTTTTAGTTTTTGGTTTATATGAAGGTTCAACAAATGATGTGATTATTACTGTTATGATTTGTTGTTGTTGTTGTTAGGTGCCGTGGAGTCAGTTCTGACTTATGGCAACACTGAGTACAACAGAAAAAAGCACTGCCCAATCCTGTGTTATCCTCATAATTGTTGCTATGTTTGAGCCAATTTGTTGCAGCCATGATGTTTAATTCAAATTACTTTCACTGACCCTCTACTTTACCAAACATGATATCCTTCTCTAGGAAGGTCCTTCCTGACATCATGTCCAAAGTACGTGAGATGAAGTCTCACCACCCTCACTTCTAAGGAGCATTCTGGCTGTACTTTTTCTAAGAAAGATGTGTTTTTCTTCTAGCAGTCCATGGTATAACCAATATTCTTCATAAACACCATAATTCAAAAGCAGCAAATATGTTTAGTAGGATATGTTAATTTGGAAAACATTGACAAAGGCTTATTTGAAAATTTATGTTTTAATTGTTGGTTTTTGTTGTTTCTTGACCATCATCTCATTCTCTTTTGGGAGCTTATCCTTTTAGCTGCATGACTCCAATAAATAGAAGTGCTACTCAAGATTTCGTTCTTGGATCTCTTTTCACTGTGCTTCTCCTCCTATGTGATCCTATCCACATCTCTTATTTCAATGATCTTCAAGGTGCTGTCTCTCAATCACTTATATCTCTAGCCCAGATCTTCAGTAGGCCTTCCTTCACTACAAGTCCCAGTTACAAATGAAAGAGGATAGTGATTGAGGGGAAGGATGGCCATTGAAAACTGCTCCTCCTTGGAGGAATTCCTTCTACTTTTTCATATGTATCTAAAATTTACATCTTCTGTAGTTCCTAGTTCAGGACGTAAGTCTTGACCTTTAACTGACTTATCTGGTTCACTCCACAGTTTTCATTTACTCATTTGCCCTTAATGAATTGCTCTATTTAAAAATCTTTATATATCTATGCGATCTAACCTCTCTCTTTTTCACTTATCTACTTCATCTAGTATTTACCTTTATCATTAAAATAAGAGCAAGGGATATGTCTTACTAATCTCTTTATAGCCAACCCACTGCTTAGTGCCTGGCCCAAAGCAAATGTCTAATAAATACACATTGAATGTACAAGGAATAGCTACATAGGTCAATATATATTGCGTTTCTCTATCTAGTGTGGATGGAGAGGATAGGTCTTCTCCGTGCCTTGTAACCCCTTATTACTATGCACTATGTCCTAATTAGGCTTCGTAAATATTAATTAGTTGACATCAGTGATTTGCCTTTCTATATATTAAGCAGAATGTTTCCTTGGAGAATATTCCTATATACTATGTGAAATTGGGAGCTCTGGTAGCATAGTGTCTAAGGCACTTGACTGATAATCAGAAGGCTAGCAGTTCAAACCCACCAGCCATCCTTGGAAGGAAGATGGGGCAATCTACTTCAGTAGTAATACTGCCTCGGAAACCCAAGGAGGGGTCACTATGAGTTGGGTCCGACCCAACAGCACATAACAACAATAACAACAATATGTGAAATTATTTGGTAGGTAGAAAATTTCAAAACTTTTTTCAGCACATTCTATTATCTTGGGCAGAAATATTTTTCTCCCAGAAACCTATAATGATTATAAATTTATTATCCTATAATTCAAAATACAGGATTTCTTTTTTCACTCAGGTATCTCATTCAACCCCCTAAAAATATATTACTAAATCTCACATAATTCAAAACTAGACTGTCTATTGGTTTGAAACATACCCTAACATAAAATTTCACAGAAAGCAAATTACAAATTTTCTGACTGATAGCTAGTCATTTCTTTATTTTGTTTGATACAAGGTATTAAACTGAATGAATAGGTGGACCCAACAACTTTTGGGGCCATTTATAGTTATTGTCATTGTTAATGAAACATTTCAAGTATATTGTTATCCTTAAGGGTTCTAATATTCTATAAATACAATTCTTTAATCTTGAAATGCAATTTTAAATCTCAAAGAACGTCTGCTGAGTAGAGTAATTGCCTGATTGTCATTTAAAAACTTACATGTAATCCAATTTGGAAGAACTAATTGTAGTAGAATGTTACACTTGTTTAATAATTTAAGGTGTGAGGGCAAGAACAATTAATGCAAATGGAGAAAATTAGACATCAAACTCATTTGTTATTCTCCTTGCTCTATTAATCTGTTATCAACTGGCATAATCGGTGATCTAACTTGGCTTAATTACCATGAAGTCTACAATTTAGCTAATCACAATTTATCATCAGTTCCTCCAACAAGGTAGAAGCATTTTATAATTTTGTAATTATGAAAATACATGATGTACAATATTATTTGTACACATGCATAAGCATTATAGTAGTGCAATTTCTTTGAGAAAAAAATTCAGTATTATGATTTATAATCTAATCTCTGGGGCAAATATGATTTAAATAAAAATTAGTGACTTTAGAGAGCAAGAGAATTATTACTGGATGATTATTTTACTACAGAGATTTTATTTTAATTTTGTAAGGGATATTTATACACAAATTTAGGGCTTGTGCAAAAAGAATAAATAAATAAAATAGTAATCCAAAATGAAATTTGTAACCACTGAGATTAAAATAATAGGAAATAACATGAACTTTTTCTGAGGTGGGGATAAAACGAACACTGAATTCCTTTATTTCTCCTCAGCTCCGTAAAGCTATTATCGACCATGTGTCAGACTCTTTCTTGGATACAACTGTGCCACTTTTGGTTCTCATTGAAGCCGCCAAGAATGGCCGAGAAAAGGAAATAAAAGAATATGCTGCGATATTTCGCGAACACACCAGCAGGCTTGTAGAGGTAAGTGTGCTAGAATTTCAAATCAAGAAGAATGAGATTCACATTCCTTGCTTACAAATGAATTTTTCTCAAATAAAAACTTTTGGGAAACTATTACAAATAAAGCAGGGTTGGGCCGAGATGTATACAGAGGTATATGTGTCACATTTTATAAACTATTCCCCACTGGCTTCGTAAAGAAGGAATTTATTTATAAACAGCTATGAAACTATGATCAGTTTTGTTTTCTTAAATTTATGTGGTTTTTTTTTTTTTTTGAGCTACAGAAAAGGAGTGGTTAAATGCAGGTAGTCTTTGCTTTATCCTTAAAACTACTTTTTAAAACTTATTCTAATTTAAAGTATAAAATATTCTATGTCATACAATTTTACTGTTCCTCTACCATATTTCTTGGTTGTATTATTCTTTCATCTTTTCAAATAATATTCAACTATGTTCATGAAGAGAGCTCTGGTGGCGTAGTGCCTAAGGCATTTGACTGCTAACCGGAAGGCTGGTGGTTCAAAACCACCATCCACTCCTCAGAAGGAAGATTGGGCAATGTACTCCTGTAGTGATCCCGCCTCGGAAACTCAAGGAGAGGTTGCTATGACTCGGATCTGACTCCACGGCAGTGAGTAAGGTATGTTCGTGAATGTGGAACAAAAGTGTAAGATAAAAAAAGGAGCAGAGAGATCTAGAAGTAATTAACTAGAGGTAGTGGGTTGGCTCATGTCTCAGTAGGGGCAAGAAAATATGGTCCACTTGTAATTCCTTCCTCATTGAAAACTGAGACAAGGGAATGCCCTGAGGTTTTGGGAACAGAGCAGCATACTGTAAAAGAACAATGAAGTGCTAGGAGATTTCCAGGTGACAAATAATGGAACATATTGTATTAGAGGCAGAAGAAGACAGCCATAGTATATGACCCTTACTGGAAGAATTTCTTTCTTCTTCAGTAACACAAGTGAAGTGACAACACACACAAAGCCAGGAACCAGTAGCAAGGAAGACAGAAATGTGATTAATCAGATCCATATTTCAGAGCTGATATTCAGCTGGTACCCATTAGTATAATAATGTAATAAAATAAAATAAAAATAGTAGTAGCAGCAATGATATTAATAGTAGTAATACTACTATTGCAACTAATAGTGTAATAGTATAACAACATTAGTACAATAGTATAATAATAAGCAACACCATGAGGAATGGAGGGAAGACTGAAGTTGTCAAGGATTTTATTTTACTTGGATCTACAATCGATGCCAAGGGAAGCAGCAGTCAAGAAATCAAACTACAGGTTGCATTGGGCAAATCTGTTGCAAAAGATGTCTTTAAAGTATTCAAAAGCAAAGATGTCACTTTCCATGGCATTTTCATTTGCTTCACAAGTATACAAAAGCTGGAAGAATTGATGCCTTTGAATTATAGTGTTGGTGAAGAATATTAAATATACCATGGACAATTAGAAGAACCAGGGGTTCTGGTGGTGTAGTGGTTAGAGCATTTGGCTGCTAACCAAAAGTTCTGCAGTTCAAATCCACCAGCTGCTCCATAGGAGAAAGGTGTGGCAGTCTGCCTCCATAAAGATTTACAATCTTAGAAACCCTATGAGGCAGTTCTACTCCATCCTGTAGGGTCACTATGAGTCAGAATTGACTCAACGGCAGTAGGTTTGATTTTTGGTTTGGTCAGAAGAGCAAACAAATCTGTCTTGGAAGAAGCACAGCTAGAATGTTCCTTAGAAGTGAGGATGGCAAGACTTCATCTCACGTACTTGGGTATGTTATCAGGAGGGACCAGTCTTTGAAGAAGGACATAATGATTGGTAAAATAGAAGTTTAGTGGAAAAGGGTAAGACCCTCAATGGCATGGATTGACCCAGTATCTGCAACAATGAACTCAAACATAGCAATGATTGTGACAATGACACAAGACCGGGCAGTGTTTCTTTCTGTTGCACATGTTGTTGTTGTTGTTATGTGCTGTCGAGTCGGCCCCGACTCATAGCGACCCCTCCTTGGGTTTCCGAGGCAGTATCACTACGGAAGTAGGATTGCCCAACCTTCCTTCTGAGGAGTGGCTGGTGGGTTTGAACCACCAGCCTTCTGGTTAGCAGGCAAGTGTCTTAGCCACTGTACTACCAGAGCTCCCTCTGTTGCACATAGGGTAGCTATAAGTTAGAATTGACTTGACAGTAGGTGACAACAACAGAAAGCACTTAAAGACTAATTTGCATTCTTAGGAGAGTGAAGGAGTCCTCAACTCATTAGTACTGGCTGTACTTGCACTTTATGGGTGGTATCTATTGTGATTTCAGTGCCCATGCGATACTAGTTATTAAATAATTTGACTGCCATACCTGGCCATGTTGGCTGCAACTAGTAAAATTGTTACATGGGCCAAATTGCTTTTAATACTTGTGAGTGAGAAATAATCATCACCTGAATTAGAATCACAGTGTCCAATATAACAGATAAGAAAGAAGAGGGCTTTTAAAACATCTTTAATGTGGGTTTACCCAGGTTTACATTTGTTTTCAAATGTAGCTAGCATTTGTACTATAAGCTCTCTCTCTAGATTCCATTCTTTTTATCTAGAAAAAGAAAGGAATGACTGAATACATGATTACTAAGATCCATTTCAGCCCTACAACTGCGTCATTGCCAAATTAAAAATCTGCTTTGCACTTCCTAAGATCTAGGGGATGGAAACAGACCTTGTTTGGAAGAATAATTAGAGTCTGATTTGAATCCCAGGTTTACAATTATTAATTAATTAATTAAATTGATTTTTTATTTATTCTATCATATATTCATTCTTCAAAAGTTATCAGCTTTTCCCACAAGAGAATGTTAAAAATAAAAGCATAGAACAGAGGGAGAAGATCATAAAAAGCTACCTAAATAATGTAGCCCTTATGGTCTTAAGGGTTTTTTCTAAACATGTGTTCTCTAAACTGAGGGACACCAAATTATAAAAACAAGTTTTTGGTGAAATATTAAAAATGTAAACATTTCTTTCTGGTAATAAAATTGCATCCCCATCCCTATTCTCAACCATCAGTTTAGTGTTTTTATGAAAAATATATCCATCTCATGAGGTACTCAATGAAGAAATCCTTGGTGAAATAATTTTGGAAAAACATTTATATTCATAGCTCCTCTTGGAGATTCACATTTCTTAAAAAATTTTGGAGTAAAGACATCTGGTAAGATGGATGAATAGGCAGACAAGCTACACAGACCCTCTTCAACAAACAAAAGAAAAACTAATTGACAGAGATGCAGAAGATAATCCTAGAGCCCTAAATTTTGAAAGGAACTATACAAAAGTGGATTAAGCACCCACTAGTGGAAAAACCTGAGCGAAAACAGTGAGTACGGAGGTGGTTGGAGCTGTGGACTGTCAGCTGCTCTGACAGGACCAACAGCCTGAATATTTTCAAGTGGTGTTGGGACCTGAGAACTGATATCAAGATCAGCCCTGGCCACCAAGGGCTGGAGGGACAACTGCACTGGTGGCTTATGACTAGGAAAGGAAACAGCAAGGAGGGAGACAACCTGAGCTGTTGACTTTCCACTGTCCAGAGGGTGCAGCCCTTTTGATTGTTTACACATGGCAGCCATTTTGGATATTTAAGGTGACCGAGGGTGCAGCCATTTTGAATATTTACAAGCTGTGGCCATTTTGGATATTTAAAGTGATTGAGGAGCAGCCATTTTGAATCTTTACAAGTAGCAGCCATTTTGGATTTTAAAGTGATCACATTTTCATTTGGATTCCAGGGACCTAAGAATAGGTTCTGTTTGTCAAGGTCAGCAGGGACATACAAGAGGCTGACAATAGGAAAAGAGACAGGTGGTGAGTTTGTAAGTGCTGTCAACCAGTGAATAGAGGAGCACAGCACAGTGCCCTGCTTGCATAGATAACATACAAACAAAACAAAGAAAATGAAAACTGTGGGCAAGTCACTCCAACATACAATTAAATATACACACAAAACTGTCACAATGCCTCAGAGACAACAGAGCATCACAATCTACACAAAGAAGCAAGATAAAGCAGGAGAAACAAGGGACCAGGGTACAGACCCAAAACACATCCCTGAGGAAGATGCAGCATTGGAACTTCCTGATAAGGAATTCAAAAGAATTATATTTAGGTATCTTCAACGAATTGAGAGACAGATCAAGGAAAACACAGAGAAAACTCTAGAACAATTTCAAAAGAGAATACAAGAAAAAAATGAAAAAAATAAATGAAAAATTAGAAATGATACAAAATCTACACACAGATAACCAGAAGATTAATACTAAATTTTCAGAAATAGATAAGACATTGAATGGGCAAAGGAGTAGAATGAATCAATGGAAGACAGAATTAGTGAGATTGAAGGAAAATACCTCAACACTTCCTTGGAAAGGGAACAATCAGAAAAAAGATCAAAACAAAATGAAGAAAGCCTAAGGTTCATGTGGGATACCATCAAAAGAATAACCTACATGTAATCGGAATTCCAGAACAGGAAGAGACAAATAAAACCACAGAGTCAATTGTCGAAGATTTGTTGGAAGAGAATTTTTCTGGTATGATGAAAGATGAGACTATATCCTTTCAGGAAGTCGAATGAACCCCAAACAGGATAGACTCCAAAAGAAAATCACCAAGACATATCATCAAACTCACCAAAACCAAAGACAAAGAAAGAATCATGAGAGCAGCACGGGAAAAACAGAAAGTTACCTACAAGGGGCAACCAATAAGACTAAGCTCAGATTTCTGGTCAGAAACCATGTAGGCGAGAAGACAATGGGATGGTATATATAAAATCCTGAAAGAGAAAAATTTCCAACCAAGAATTATATACACAACAAAATTGTGCCTCAAATATGATGGTGAAATTAGGACATTTCCAGATAAGCAGAAATTAAGGGAGTTTGTTAAAACCAGACCAACCTTACAAGAGATGCTAAATGGAGCTCTTTGGACAGAGAAGCAACAACGGCCAACAACAA